TTTAGCTTTTAGCTAGCCTTTTGCTACTTTTAGCTAGCCTTTTGCTACTTTTAGCTAGCCTTTTGCTACTTTTAGCTTTTACCTAACCTTTTGCTACTTTTAGCTTTTACCTAGCCATTTGCTACTTTTAGCTATAATTTTGCTACTTTAGCTTCTAGCTAGTATTTCTGCTACTTTTAACCAACCTTGATTTACTTTAAGCTTGCTGCTACATTTAGCTGCCATACTGCTACTTTGAGCTTTTAGCTAGTATTTGGATTCTTTTAAATAAAATTTAATTATTTTGCTTCTTTTAACTTTTAGCCTACATATTTATTACATTTTTTATTAATTTTATTAATTTATTTGTATAATTTTTACTTTAGCTAATATTTAGCTAATACATGTATTCTTTTAGCTATTATTCTGCAATTTATAGCTTTTGGCTAGCCTTTTGCTATTTCAGCTTTTAATACCTTAGCTTTTTTAGCTTTGAGTTAGCTGTTTTCTATTCTAAGGTTTTAGCAAGACTTTTGCTTTTAGCTTGTAACTAGCATGTTACTACCTTTAACTAGCTTTAATCTACTTTCAGTTCTCTGCTACTTTTAGCTTTTACAGTAGCTAGTGTTGCTAATTACTCATATCATTTTGATTTTTATTCTTAGCTTTTAGCTAGTGTTGCTAATTACTCATATCATTTTGATTTTTATTCTTAGCTTTTAGCTAGTGTTGCTAATTACTCATATCATTTTGATTTTTATTCTTAGCTTTTAGCTAGTGTTGCTCATTATTGGTTTATATAATTTGATTTTTTTTTACTTTAAGCTACTTTAAACGTTTGGCCAGCAAAATGTTAATTTTTATTTTAGCTTTTAGCTAGTATATTTTTTCTATGAACTCACATTTCGCTTTGTTTAACATTTCAGCTACTTTTGGATGTTCACCAAGGCTGCGCGTTCCTCACAGCCACTTCATGAACGGTGAGCGATCATGTAACTTCCTGCGTATTTGAGAGTGTGCATGTTTGACAGTCTGTTAGCAAAATATCTCGAGAACGGCTGGATGGAACCGAATGAAACTTTCAGCAACTACAGGAAGTAGCTCTGCAAAAGATTAATCCGATTCAAGATGGACGCCACAGACACGTAAAAGGCAGTTTTAGCTAACGCGTGGTGTGGTAGTAGCTGAGGGTCGTCCACAACACAGACGCTAACAGCTAGCATAGCATGCTAATGCACCAGATGCTCGATTCAGACGAACTGAGGCAGCGAGCTCGTTTAAAATGAGAAATCAGCTTCTTTTAACACGCATAATGACATGTTGTAAAACACGCACACGCGTGCACGCACAGGCTGTAATAAAGTCACACCTGTA